TAAATGTTTCTAGCCATTGTATTATAGAGACGAGGCATCTATAATGTTCAAAGTCCGGCACATGTTATGTTCCTCATATTAGAGGGCAATCGATCTCTTATATTGATAGTAGAGGGATACTTAGAACAAACATGTAGGTGCTTGTTCAAGCTAGAACAAATTCACTGAACATGACCTAACAAGAGAATTCCATTTGGTATCCTACTCAAGTGTCTATGGGGATAATTCTCTAACGACAGTTTTGCAAATGATCTTTAAACTTGAGATACTATTGTTATCTTAAAATTCCATGGCTTAAAGGATTGAAAATTTTAATATTCCATTGTGCATGATCTACCTTAGTGATTTGAATCCCCAACATGATTCTAGGAGAAATGATAGCAAGAAATCAGCTAAGATTAATGAGCACACCCCCAATGGTTGAGGGCTAAAATCTCGGAACAAATTTGCTAGCTTGGCAAAAGGATTTTCAAATAGAGTTAATGAAGAAGTTCCTACTAAATAGTCAACTGGTGGTGAGGTTCCTAATTCCAAGCAATGTAATTTAAACAGGGATAAACTAAAGAATGTTGCTAAGCCTAGTCAATGAAAAAAAAAAAAGACCAACATGGAATGATTAACTCTAAGGTAGTGGACCCTGCGATCAAATGTTCACTTAAGGGAATTTCTAAATTTATTTTCAAGCTAGTACTTCTTTGAAGAAGGGTGGTCAAGTATTTAAAGGTAGGCCTAAAAATAATATGAGCTATAACGTTAAGCAAACCGGCATTAAAATTAAGGAGGTTGGTTTGTCATCAAAGCCTCTTAATAGTAGCTTTGGTGGTTTTAATCCGATTCACCACTTTTCTGATGCAAACTCAAGTTCTTTTCCTCAATAGCACCCCCCATCTTCAAGGGAAGGTGGAAATGAGCAGGTAAGGTTGACTGAAGTTGATAAAGCTATAATGATGGACACGACTATTGTAGCAGATGAGAACAACTTGGTTTTGTCAAATGTTTCGATGGAAGGTGGTGGTTTACCATCACTTGGGGATCACCAGATGTCTCAAACACCATGAGGGTGTTGTTTCTTCTCCTTAATAATATCTTATGTCTATATTATTTTGGAATTATCGAGGTGCAAGCAGTGCTGAGTTTTTGTCATGCAAAAAGCTAGTTGTTGTTCATAGGCTTGATATATTAGTCATAGTTGAGCCTCAGATTAATGGAATCGAAGCAGAAAGGATCATTCGATGACCAAGTTTTGATTTTTGTACTAGAGTGGATGTCAGATGTCTTTCTGGTGGCTGTTGGGTTTTGTGGAAGATTAGCATTGGGAATGTTCAAGTCTTTGAGAAAGAAAGGCAATTCATCTCTCTCCTTGTCACGGATGTTGAAGGAGAATGTTGGGCTTTCACTGTTGTGTACGGAAGTCTTAATCATGCTACTCGAATGTTTCTTTAGAACTATTTGAAGGTTTTTGATGAGTTTGATCGAGTTCCCTGGTTTTTATTGGGCAAATTTAATCAAATCCTCTTTAGCTGGAAAAAGCAAGGGGGTTGTAGAAGAGCCTAGGAAGAATAGAACTTTTTTTGGGAAGTTTAGACTAACAGAAGCCTTATTGACCTCGAAGTGGTGGGATGTCGATTTACCTAGACTAGTAATCAAGGTGGTGGAAATTTAGAAAGAAGAGACTTGATGGAGTCGTGTGTAATATGGCTTGGAGAAGTATATTTTCTGAGGCTTTTGTTACTAATCTTCCAAGAGCCCAAAGAGATCATTGTCCGATTGTTGTTAATTTGTATAGAAGAACTCCTATTCATAAAGACTTGAGGCCTTTTCGTTTTGAGATGGCTTGGTTATCTCATGATTCTTTTATGGACTTTACCAAGAATGCATGGAAAAGGGGGGATAACCTTCATGTAAACCTTAAAGACTTTGAAGCAACTGTCAAGGAATGGGATGTGACTATTTTTGGTAATGTGTTCAAGAGAAAGAGACGTTTATTAGCTCGTTTAAATGGGATTCAAAAGGCCTCGGAGGTGCAGCCTGATCCTTTTTTATTTCAATTGGAGGAAAAATTTACTTCGAAGTATGATAAAGTGCTTTTGCAAGAAGAATTGATTTGGTTCCAGAAGTTACATTCGAACTGGGTCCAGTTTGGTGATCAAAATACCAAATTCTTTCATACGACCATGACGATTAGGAGGAATCAAAATATGATCCGAGCTTTAAAAAGGGCAGATGACAATTGGTGTAATGATCCATCAGAACTCAAATCCTTGGTTATTAAGGAAAATTCGTTTAGTTTAATATTAAGGATATTCGTCCTCAGTCTCAATTTGCTTTTAATGAAAGATACATCCTAGAATTTGTTCATATCTTACTAGAAGATGAAATCTATAGAGCTCTTAGCTCTATGGCCCTTTTCCAGGCTCCAGGTCGGGATGGTTTCCAAGCAGGTTTCTATCATGCAAATTAAGAGATTGTGAAGGAGTTAAGTTTGCAGGCTCGTCAAAGAGTCCTTTCTTACAGGATAGTTTGATGAATCCCTTAGTAAGGTATTATTGATGTTTATTCCAACAGTGGACCATCTAGAAAAAGTATCACAGTTTCAACCGATTATCTCTGCAATGTCTCTGTCAAGTTGAACTTGAAGATTGTTGTGGGTTGGCTTCAGCCTTACTTAAAGGATATCATCTCTCCTAGTTAAAGTAGTTTTATTCCAAGGAGAGGCAGTAAATATAGTTGTGGTTCTGGAAGTTGTACATTCTCATGGGAGAAAACAAAGTAAATTAGGTGGTATTATTATGAAGATAGATTTGGAAAAGACTTATGACATAGTTCATTGTAATTTTCTTTGTTGGGTCCTAATTGATCTAGGCTTACCTTCCACTTTAATTTCTTTAGTCACTTCTAGGGAGATGAAAATCATATGGAATGGGGAGATGACTTCGCATTTTAAACCAACTGCAGATTTTGTCAAGGATACCCCCTCTCTCTATATTCATTTGTCTTGTGCTTGCAGAAGTTATCTACTGTGATTAATGAGGCAGTCGAGGATGGTGCTTGGAAACCTATCACCTTGTGCAGGAATTGGCCTTTCCCATGTCATATTTTCTTTGCAGATGATCTCTTGCTTTTGGGAAAGGGTTTGGCAAAGCAATGCCAAACGATAATAAAATGTTTGAATGATTTTTGTTCTTTTTCAGGATAGAAAGTGAACTTCTCGAAATCTAAATTCTGCACTTCAAGGACTATTCCTTTTTGTTCGGTGGAGAAAATGAAATCTATATGGAGCATGCAACATGTAGATGATCCGGACAATTATCTTGGAGTTCCTATCCTGTAGAGGGTTGGAAAACATACCTATAACTACCTTTTGGTGAAGGTCAAGAATCGGTTATCATCTTGCAAAGCAAGTTCATTGTCATTAGCAAGGATATCGATGCCTTGAGTAGAAATATCCTATGGGATGCTACGATGGTAAAAAGAAAGTTCTTACCAAATGGGATATGGTGTGTTGTCCAAAGAGAATGGGTGGTTTAGGAATATGAAAAACTACTGAGATGAATAAAGCTCTTTTATCCAAGTTGGGGTGGAAAATTGAAGATGGTGATCAAGGGTTGTGGGCACGTGTTCTTAGAGCTAAATATTTGAAAGGTAAGCCTTTTATCCATGCGATTACCAAATCTAATACTTCTTACACCTGGAGAAGTATTTGCTCAACTAGAGAGGTTGTTAAACAAGGCTGCTCCACGTTGGTTACAATGGGAGAAACACTTATTTTTGGCATGATCTATGCTTAGGTGACAAACCATTGGTAGAGGTATGTGATTTGAGCTATGAGCCTATCGACAAATGATGAGAATGGGAGATGGAAACCTGATAAGCTGAATGATCTTCTATAAGGCTTGCATAACTTTAGTGCATCTGTTGAGATGCTGCCAAGTACTCCTTGAACAGCTGCTCTTCTTGTAATTGTTCAGAACAGGCTCTTCTTATGATAGCTTTCATGCCAACAAGAGTCTCCAAATCTCAACGTTGAAGACTCCCCACGGCATTCCAGCTTATCATTAATAAAAACTCATCTTTCAAAAAAAAAAAAAAAACTTTAGTGCATCTGTTTAAAGATAATCCAGTCATTTGGTCCTCTTCACCTACTGGTAGTTTCTCGGTTAATTCTACTTATTCATTGACACAAAACCATGCTGCCACTTCCTTTGCTTGGTCTCGAATATGGAACATTAGATGGTTGCCTAGAATTCATCATTTTTTCTAGTTGGTTGGACATAATCGTATTCCCACAAGAGGGGCCTGCTTTCGAGGGAAGCTTTCAAATACCTCTCGATGTCCAAGATGTGATGCTGAAACGGATAAACTGGATCCTTGGTGCTCACCTTGTTCACTTGAATGGTTTTGCTTTGCACAAATGGCTCCTCTACAATTTTAACAGAAAGGATGTCCTTGTGGAAGGCTCTAAATAGCTTTGTTAAGGTGAATGTCGATGCAGCTCCTATTTCTAATCGAAGAGAGCTTAGCATGGAAGGCTTATGTGAAGATAACCGTAGATATTGGATCTTTGGATTCATGGGCAAACTTGATATAGACACCATTCTGAAAGCTTAATTACACGCTATTTATATGGGACTTCCGCTTGCTTGGCATCATGTTTGTCAACTGATTGTGGTTGAATCGAACTCTAAACTTGCTGTCCAAAAGATTCACCAAACAATCCAAGATAAATCCTCTTTCACCGATTATTCATTCTATTCAACCGTTAATGTTGAAAGATTTGAGTATGCTCGATACATCATAATTATAGGGAAGCAAATTTCTGTGCTGACTTTCTTGCTAAGAAGGCGCAATTGGGAGAATTTGAAGTTATTAAACTACAATCCCCAACTGAGCTGTCCTTTTTGCTTCAAGATGATTTAGTTGGTGTTGCTAGGCCTACAGCTGTGGTAGATTAAGCGGTTTCCGCTGCCATGTACCCAAAAAGAATGAAGTCATGAACTACGTACACTACATTGTTCCATTTAAATTCACCTGTTTCTGAGGAAAGAATCAAAGAAAGAAGTAGCGATGCGAAAATAAAGTCAGAATTGGATCTCTCTTCCATACGAAGCAAAGCCCCAATTGACCACCTCAATGCTACAAAGAAAAATTCAAAACAAAAATAGGAAATGTAGTCATTATTAAGTCACATAAATGTCAAGCTTCAGCTCTCCATGATCATAAAATTCTCATGGAATAAGATTATCCCTATCCCTACTACACATTGAATGCATAACATGCATAAATCCAGAAAAGCAACAATTGCTCAGATCATCAAAGGATGCTCCACTCACTGCACATTGTGCCCACTCCATAAACAACAATCACAACCATCTCAAAACCTGGCAGCCCGTTCAACCAGATCTTTGTACTCATCACTTACAAAAGACTTTACTTTGAGAGTGGGGTTTCTACTATCAGGCTTCGCTGGAGACTCGTACTTTATCCCAATTACAGTTGCCAAACCTGTCAAAAAAGAAACAAAAACAAATTAAAAGCAAATTCCACCACACAAATAGAAGTCTCATGTGCATGGACATCTTTGGTATATAAGACCTGCACTCTTACACTTGTGAATCCTAGACATGTTGCTAGTTCATGGTTTGTATAAATGGTATACAAGCATTTTAAATGTATTTTGTAATTCATAACACCAATTTTTATTGCCTATGAATAAATTCAGAATTCAAATACAGAATTTTACATCTTTGTTAGTAGTTGGGTCTGCTTAGTCAGGTATTGCAGTTGTGAAAACTATGGTGGAAAAACTAGAATTGAAAACTGTGCTAGAAACAGCTATGGAAAAGCAATCTTAAACCAGAGTGTTCGGCATAATATGATAATAGTATTGTGATGGGATCAAATATCCAGAAAGGACGTGATGCTAAAATGCAATTGTTTTTATTTAAAACCCAATTCCCAGAGTTATCTCTATGTTATACTATTCAAAATTATCTTAATTTTTAATCAAACATTTTGAAAAAGCAAAAGGAAAATATAAGAGAAAGTGAGGCCTTATTATACCAACATTTATTCCATGTAGAGGAGATGGACTTGCTTTGTAATGAATAAGATCAAATCAAAAGAGCAGTGTTAAATTGACATGTACAAAGGCAGAAGCACAACTGCATAGTAATGGTAATGCAGGTGCCCACCTGCTTTAGTATTAGGCAGTACAATTTCAAGCCTCATTTGACAATTTTCATTTTTAAAGCATATTACGACCCTTATGCCAACTGAAGTCTTTATGCTATTTGCTAAAGACTTCCTTTGACATATAATAACCGGCCTGTGCATCATCAAGAACTGAACAATTACAAAAACCATCCCCACTTCAAGTTCAGTGGTTGCATCAAAATCCTAAGCTAAGCTGAGAACATTGTGCTACAGCTATCCATACCCTTTACCAAAGAAACCCAAGAAAAACATAAACAAAGGGAGCTCAGCAAACATTTAATAAATCTTCATCATTCCCTTGAAGCTTAAGACCAGCTTACAACAAAAATTTGGTAACGCAACAGTGGAAACACGAATTTGGTAGATTTGCAGTGGAAATATGATTTAGAAGTGATTTTCATAAAAAATTGTGGCTGCAATGTAGGGAGATCAAATGACCAATAAACTTAAAACGCTATACTTAAAGTGAATCATTCAATCAATAAATGCATTTTTGTTTGACTTTTGAAGTTACTGAACATTAAATGGTCAAAAAGGACTACCAAGAAAAATTAGTTACTTTTCGGATACAGTCGTACGATCAAATAAGGCAGTTAATATTTTTAAAAAATTCTAAATAATGTCACAAGATGAATACTAACTCATATATTTGTAATAAAACACAAATATTAACTATATCTTTTACAAGAAAAATAAACATAAGAGACAGAAATAAGATTGGCAGAATCTAAACCCTTAACTCTGTGTTCGGGTACGAGGGAATAGAATGGGAATGGAATAGCCATTTTGTAAGAATAGAAAAAGAGATGAATAGTTATTATGTAGTTTGGTTCATGAGTATAGAATAGGACAAGATTTACTATTCTGAATTATTCTAATGTTTGGTTGGCATGAATAGTAGAAATAACTAAAGAATAAGTGAAAAATGATAAAAATACCCATTATTATAATATCTAATTTTTAAATTAAAATATTTATTTTTTAATAATTTATTATAAATATTAATAAATTGTTATTCAAATGTTAATATGATTATTTATTTTAATTTACAAAATATTAATAATTTGTATTTCATTTAAAATATTAATAATATATAATTAAAACAATAAGTTTTATTATTTTATTTTACTCTTTAATTTTAAAATATTAAAATGTAAAAATGTATAATTAAATTTTACTTTAATTTTTATGTTTAAAATATTAACTAGTTATAATTTATAATTAAAACTTAAAACTTTTTATTTTAAATTCATTTTAATTTTTTTCATTTTTATTTTCTCTTCTTTTTATTATAATATTTAATTTTTAAGTTAAAATGTTTATTATTTTAATAATTTATTATAAATATTAATAAATTTTTATTTAAATTTTAATATGTTTATTTATTTTAATTCACATAATATTAATAATTTATAATTCATTTAAAATATTAATAATTTATAATTAAAACATTTATATTATTACTTTATTTTATTCTTTATTTTAAAATATTAAAATATAAAAAAATTATAATTAAAATTTTATTTTAATATTTAAGCTTAAATATTAACTTTTTATATTTTATAATTAAAACTTAAACCTTTTTATTTTAAATTCATTTTATTTTTTCTTTTTTCTTTTAATTTTAAATTTATTTTAATTAAGTGAGAGAAAGAGAGAGGCATTCACGTAGAGAGAGAAATTTAAAAAATGAATAAATTGTATTTTATATAGTATGGTAATTCTTAAAATAAATTAGAGGTGTTTTTATCCACCAGTTTTTTTAATTCTATTCCTTGCCTTTTGAAATAGCCAATACCAAGAGAGGTCTTGATGTTGGCTATATTCCCTATCTCCCTGAATGGCCATTCCTAGGAAGTCATTCCTTCTAACTAAATAAGGTGTTAAAAGAGGATTAAAAATAGGAGAATGGAATAGCCATTCCCCAAACCAAGCATGCTGTAGGTATTCAAGTGGTAAATCGACAGATATGAGTAACATCTAGGTGGTCAAAAGAATGCAGCATAGCTTGCAAGAAGTCTAGAGTGCAGTAATGGGGGAAGATGTTGCAATTCGATGGTCAGGTTACAGTCAGTTATGAAAGAAAGACAAATTTGGCAGTTTCACTGTGAAAAGGGGCATAACTGGCTTTTCCTATAACCCACCACTGGCTGGAGACGCAAAGCAATTTTTTATGGTGTATTATGACTGCAATGGGATCAACCATGTGATTGGAGAAGCAGCTAACACATGGGCATAGCCTGACTGGCCCAATTACTGTTAGCACTCAGTTCTCACCCGCAGCCCCTCACAGCGTTTGCCTCAAATGCACTTTTCGGTTGAAAACATAGGCCTGTTTGACATTATGTTTGAGGCCAGAAACAAAGATTTAAGGCCCACATAACGCTAAACTGGGTCTAAGGGGATGGGGCTTCTGGTAGAGATCTCAACTTCGAGCCCCAGTGCTGTCTTGCACCCGATATAATAATAATAACTAAAAAACAAAAGGATTAAGAGGGTCATCTACATGAGCACCATATATTTGGCTTCAAACATCTTCAAGGCTGTACAAATCATTGATGCAAAAGATTGAAATTTGACACTATTTCACTAGAACATAGTTATTTCGGCAGGGAAAAAAATATTTTGCACTTTTGCTCAATATTATTGCAATAAAATCCCAAACTAAACATATAAGGTATGCTAAATATTGTTACTACTATAGAAATAAATAAATAATTCATGTGAAATGACATCAGGTTGGGGGATACCAAAAATCAGATTTTCTGAACTCATATGACAAGCTTTTATCTCCATACCTTTCACAAATTATGGTTCCAGATTCAGGCACTGATCTAAACTAATTTGAGATTAAGGGCTCACTTAATCAAGGTAAGATAGTAGAGTACAAACTAGAGTAGTAATGAGCTGAACTCAAATTATAACCGACATACTCGTCATCAATAAATTATAATATATTACTACACGTGACGTACATATACACTTCAAAGAATAATTTCGGTGAAATTCTAAATTCTTCCAAAAGCACAGCAGTTAATTTTTTATTTATAATGGCACAATTAATTCTTCACATAGGATGATAATTAAAAAAAAACCATAAGGGAAGGTACTCACTTGAATGTATGCGTCCATATAAGAATCTTTCACCTTTCCAGAATTCCAAAGGTCTTGACTTGATCCTAGTGCTCCGTCTCCTCCCTTCGGCATTGTATGTTGTACCAGAACCTACAAAGTAAAATACACGAAGTCATTCCAACAGAATTACTGAAGAACTTCAAAGATGCAAGTTGAGTTCTTGGTATTAGTAACACCTGCAAGGCTTTGTCTCCGAGAAAGTGCTTTCCTCTTACATTCATTGCGTGGATATGGTTTTGTTTTGCCCTTGTTGTGTTGCTAAAGAAACAAATTAAAAAGTAGAAAAACGAACATTAAAAACTTGACAATTTTTCAAAAGGAATGTAAACCAAAAAGAGGCATGAGTCTTATTTCTTTTTCTTCACTAAAAACTAAACTAGTTCACCAAAATACATAGTGATGTATAGCAAAATGGCTTGATTCATATGTTTACAGACATAAGACTAATTAAATATGAAGGGACTCCAGACGGTAACTGAAGCATGCAAAGTCATACAAACATCTACTAGAAACTACCATTAATCCACTACCTTGTAACATTTTTTATTGAAAATGACACCATCAGCCATTGCAGTCAGTAACATGCAATATCCTAGAAGACATTGCAAATTTTCACAGTAACCCAGATACACTTGGATTCAAAAAGAGTTACAGACACATTGTTTGATTTTAGAAGGTGAAGTTTCGCATGCAGGACTTACAAATCAAGTTTCAGGCTTTACCTTTCTCACATTAAAGTAAAAGCAACACCATTTCCTCCATGGTGGTTTCAAACATTTTCAATTGTTTTATTTATTTTCTTCAAAACCATAAGGAGTTAGAATAATAAGCCTAACTCTAGATTGGCATGATTTGAGGCAAAGATAATTCTTAAAAAATATAGTAGACCAAACTCTTTCTCAACTCGTAAATATAGCTAAGAACATGTCAACTGTCAATTTTGATTATTATATCATGAACTAATGACAGGCAACTGAATTCAACACATTTCCAATATATGGGGTAAAGAAGCAGTGGTAGGAAAGACAATAAAAACTATTCCACGATAGTTGAGGTGAAATGCACTAGCCACATGTATCTCCCCTGTTGCAGTCCCTTATTCCCTTCAGTTACCTAGTAGCTAAGTTACTTGTTGAAAATGATGGTGGGGGGTGAATTGTTATTATTTGCAATCACTGTTTTACATAATAAAACGTGGCAAGCATACCTTTGTAATATATATGTCCAAACAGAACAGAAAAACCACAGATTCTATGCTTTGAGGAGCAGTCCTATTTCATTGCCATAAAATCAACCTTTGTGGTGCAAAATTCTACAAGATTATTAACTAACAGAAAACCTTTTGAGTTGATATCAATAATATGTTATATGAGCTCTTGCTGCATTGAGAGAGAGTGTAGACCAGAAAATGCAAGTTTGGGAAAATTAAGCCAAACCAGAGAAAAAAAAAATCAATGTTTGGAAAACATAGAGCTAATAGTATAGCTTCTATATATAAGCCCAGAAAAGCACTACAGAACTCCCTAATCATGAATGCTGACTGCCATACTAAATGGAAAAAATTAAGCACGAAGATAAATAATCATGGAAAGTACAAACCTCATGCAGCTCTTGACCACTTTCTGCTGTTTTCAGAGATCCATCCATTGTGCAGCCCTCAACCATAGCAGGATTAGATTCATCTGTTAGGGGAAGGGAAATGTACACAAAGAAAACTAATAAATTGAACCATCAAAAGCACAATAATGACTTGAGGTAAATCTGGTTCATGATGCGCCAGGTCCAAGGCAACGGAAAGCCGAAAGTTATAATTTATTATGTAGGTATGTCACATTTCAAATCCAATCATAACAAATTTAGAAATGATATTTCAATGATAATCTATTTAAAGCATAATAGCAGGTCAAAGATTACCTCATATTTTTGTTATACTTCAAAAGCAGAAAATTACTGCCTGAATTTTCTTAGGCCTATAACATGAAATTTCTTTTCTGATTTATAACAAATACAGCCAACCATGAGCCACATATGTTGAAATGATTAGCTAAATGGGTATATACAATATGAATTTGTATCTTTGATGTTATTTGAGTATTCAAGGGTACAAAGGAGTTAATCTTCACTAGCTATACAAGCTAAAGCATGAATTTTAATAAAAGACCCATTTAACAAGAATAAGCAAGGGTTCCAAGAAGTTGCCAAAAGGTCAGCATGAAAGTTTGTAAAGCAATAGGACAAGGATCATTAAATTCTACATCTTGCAACAGTGACATGAAGACCTATTGTGGAAGTAACCCTCTAGGACATTCAACTGGTAAGACCTTATGACCTTTAATGCATTAGCAATTTAGCATAAGCAATAAGCCTTAACTGCAGACTGTCAACTGAAATGCATAACTTTCTAGAGGCATCAGCATTATTATGAGCAACTATCATGTGAACAGAAGTTAATCAAGGGCATTTATAGTATTCATTCAATGTAAGTTTTAAGCACAGAAAGTCAGTGAGGAATACATGCTATTTGGGCAGCTCACTAGTTCTATTATAAGATATTGGCATGATGCTGCTATCTACAATTCACAATGTAAGAGTACTCCCCCTTCCACCACAGATTCAACTTTTGCAGGTAGATCACAAAGTGCTATCACATTACAACGGGTGACTTAAAGTTTATTCGAACAGATAGCACCAAGAGAGACAGAGATAGAGAGAACTACCAATTCAACTGAAGAGGAATAAAAAGTGCTAAAACATGTTTAATAGAGTCGTAGACATAGTTATCATTATCGTACAATATGCGATACGTATAATGACGTATCACATCATACAATGCGTCACAATACTAGTAGAAAACAATACATATCTATAATTGTATCACATTTGGTCAAGTATTGAAAGAGGATCGTACAATACACGATATGTATCTTACAATACGGGGGCATATCGTATGATACAATCGATACAATTTTTTATAAACTTAATTCTAAT